CGCTCTACCACTTGAGCCACAGCGCCACTTCCGGCTTTTTTCTTTTTGCTTATGTGGTGTTGAGGAATCAAACCCAGGGCCTCAAGCATGCAAGGCAAGCGCTCTACCACTGAGCCACCTTCCCAGCCCCTTTGTCAATGTTTTCATTAGTACAGAACATTGCACTAAGCCAGGCGCCAGTGGCTCATGCGTGTAAACCTAGCTACTCAAGAGGCTGAGATCTGAGGATCTCGGTTCAAACCCAGCCCAGGCAGGAAACTCCGTGAGACTCTTATCTCCAATAAATCACTCAAAAACTGGAAGTGTCACTGTGGCTCAAGAGGTAGAGCCCTCGCCTTGAGCTGAAGAATGCAGGGACAGCGCCCAAGCCCAGAGTTCAGGCCCCATGACTGACAAAGAAAACAACAACAGCAAAAAAAAAAAATTGCACTATCATAATTCTCCTGTATTTGAACTTTTTTTTTTTTTTTTGGTTGGTTGTGAAGGCTGAACTCTGGCCTGGGCGCTGTCCCTCAGCTCTTCAGCTCAAGGCTAGAGCCCTACCACTTGAGCCACAGTGCTATTTCCGGCTTTTTTCTGCTTATGTGGTGCTGAGGAATCGAACCCTGGGCCTCATGCTTGCACGGCAATCACTTTACCACTGAACCGCCTTCCCAGCCCTATTTGAACATTTTTACAAGTTTTTTAGCTTTTTACATTATAAAGAACAAAGTGAGCCAGGTGCCTGTAGCTCATGCCTGTAATCCTAGCTACTAAGGAGACTGAGATCTGAAGATTCTGGTTTGAAGCCAGCCGGGGCAGAAAAGTCCATGAGATTCTTATATACAGTAAACCACTCAAAAACTGGAAGTGGCACTGTAGCTCAAAGTGGTAGACTGCTAGCCTTGAGCCAAAATGCTCAGGGACAGTGCCTAGGCTCTGAGTTCAAGCCCCCTACTATTCACTTTGTTTAGAACATTGGTGACTCACAACTGTGATCCTAGTTTCTCAGGAGGCTGAAATATGAAGACTACAGTTGAAAGCTAGCTCAGGCAGGAAAGTCTTTGAGACTCTTTATTTTATTTTATTTTTTTTTGGTAGGTCTTAGGGCTTGAACTCTGGGTGCTATCCCTCAACTCTTCAGCTCAAGATGAGCGCTCTACTGCTTGAGCCACAGCGCCACTTCCAGTTTTCTAGTAGTTTATTGGAGATAAGAGTCTCACAGACTTTCCTTGCCCAGGCTGGCTTTGAACTGTGATACTCAGATCTCAGTCTCCTGAGTAGCTAGGATTACAGGCATGAGCCACCAGTGCGTGGCCCAAATTTTTTTAATTTTTAATTTTATTGTTATTATAAAGGTGATGTACATAGGGGTTACAGTGACATAAGTCAAGTAATGAGTATTCCTAGTTAATTTTGTTTTTTCGGTCATGGTGCTTGAACTCTGGGCCTGGGCATTGTCCCACAGCTCTTTACCTCAAAGAGAGCACTCCAACAGTTGAACCACACCACCACTTCCAGTTTTTTGAGTGGTTTATTGGAGATTAGAATCTCTTGGACTTTCTTGCTCAGGCTGACTTTGAACTGCAATTCTCAGATTTCAGTCTCCTGAGTAGCTAGGATTATAGGCGTGAGCCACTGGTGGCTGGCTTCCTTGTTAATTTTTTTCCTTTTCTTCTTATTTCTTTTTTTTTTGTCAGTCGTGGGGCTTGAACTCTGGGCCTGGATGCTGTCCTTCAGCTCTTCAGCTCAAGGCTAGTGCTCTACCACTTGAGTCACAGTGTCACTTCCAGTTTTCTGGTGGTTAATTGGAGATAAGAGTCCAGTTTTCTGGTGGTTAATTGGAGATAAGAGTCTCATGGATGTTCCTGCATGGGCTCTCTTTGAATTATGATCTTTAGATCTCAGCCTCCTGAGTAGCTAGTATTACAGGTGTGAGCCACCAGTGCCCTGCTGGATTCCTTATTGATTATTTGTTCTGATGCTTGACTGTGTGCCTAAGTGCTTCTAAGATTCAATGTAGCTATAGCTACATTGTGCTTTGGGTATGGGCATGAGACTTGTTCTGTCTCCAGATTCATGATTAAACATATAATGGATGCTTAATACAATATTTTGTATGTTAAATGCAGACATTTAACCAAAAACACTGAGTTTCTCAGGCAAAAAAATAATACTTGGTGGACTGGGAAGGTGGCTCAGTGGTAGAGCGCTTGCCTTGCATGCATGAGGCCCTGGGTTTGATTCCTCCGCACCACATAAGGAAAAGAAAAAAGCCAGAAGTGGTGCTGTGGCTCAAATGGTAGAGCGCTAGTCTTGAGCTGAAGAGCTGAGGGACAGCGCCCAGGCCCAGAGTTCAGGCCCCACGACCAGACCCCAAAAAATAATAATAATTGGTGTGTTATGGTGGAGCAAGTATGGGAGAGACTCTGATGGATTCTATTCCAAACCACCTGCACAGCTGCTTATATGATTTCTGATCTGGAGATGGGATTTAAAGCTTCTGAGGTTCATTTTTTCTCATTTGAAAAATGTGGGTATTTTCTTAGGGCTGAGTGAGAAAGTGGGCATGGAAGAGTGCTCAGGCCAATCATTCTGCACGAAGAATGTGTCCAATCCATCTGTTACTATAAAATTCATTTTTTATTCTAAAAGGAAAGAGGCTACTATACCTCTCCTGGATGATAAGCTTTTATTTATTTACTTATATATCTAAGCCACATTCCCAGGCCCACTTTTATTCTCTCTTCTTTTTTTTTTTTGTCAGTCATGCTGGGATTGAACTCTGTGCCTGGGTGCTGTCCCTGAGCTTTTCTGCTCAAGGCAAGCACTCTACCACTTGAGTCACAGCACCACTTCGGGTTTTCTGGTGGTTTGTTGGAGATAAAGAGTCTCACTGACTTTCCTGCCCGGGCTGGCTCTGAACCGTGATCCTCAGATCTCAGCCTCCTGAATAGCTAAGATTTCAGGCATGAGCCACCAATGCCCAGCCTCGCTTTTATTCTTAAATTAGAAGAGTAGAGGAATTAGTGGTATGGTTCAGTTAGTAGAGTGCTAGCCAATGAGCAAAAGCACCAGGTACCAAGTTCAAGTCCTTAGGTCTTAAAAAAAAAAAAGAGGAGTAGAAAATATTGATACTGCCGGGCGCTGGTGGCTCACACCTGTAATCCTAGCTACTCAGGAGGCTGAGATCTGAGGATCGCGGTTCAAAGCCAGCCCAAGCAGGAAAGACCGTGAGACTCCTATCTCCAATAAACCACCAGAAAACCGGAAGTGGCACTGTAGCTCAAGTGGTAGAGTGCTCGCCTGGAGCTGAAGAGCTGAGGGACAGCGCCCAGGCCCAGAGTTCAAGCCCCACGACCGACCAAAAAAAAAAAGAAAGAAAGAAAGAAAATATTAATATCTTAGAGTTACTGAAAGAGTTCAAATACCAACTTAGCCATTTATTAGCTATATCATATAAACAAGTAACAGTCTATCTCAACTTTATTTTCTCTAAAAAAGAATAAACTAATATTTGGCTTTTTCACTCATTGTTGGCATTCTACCACTTGAGTCATTCCTCCACTTCCAGTTTTTCTGCTGGTTAATTGGAGATAAGAGTCTCATATGCCGGGCACTGGTGGCTCACACCTGTAATCCTAGCTACTCAGGAGGCTGAGATCTGAGGATCTCGGTTCAAAGCCAGCCCGGGCAGGAGAGACCGTGAGACTCCTATCTCCAATAAACCACCAGAAAACCGGAAGTGGTGCTGTAGCTCAAGTGGTAGAGCGCTCGCCTTGAGCTGAAGAGCTGAGGGACAGCGCCCAGGCCCTGAGTTCAAGCCCCACGACCTTTTCTCCTCAAGCTAGCTTCAGACCTCAATCCTCAAATCTCAGCCTCCTGAGTAGCTAGGATTAGAGGAATGAGCCACCAATACCCAGCTGACCTCATTCTTAATTGTATTTTATGACTTTTTAGTCCTGAATTTTGGTCTATCTAAGGAAATTCTAAATATCATCCTTATTCTTCCCTACCTAAAACTATTCTATCATCATCAAGAATTAGGCTAGGGGGCTGGGAAGGTGACTCAGTGGTAGAGCGCTTGCCTTGCATGCTTGAGGCCCTGGGTTCAATTCCTCAGCACCACATAAGCAGGAAAAAAAAAGCCGGAAGTGGCACTGTGGCTCAAGTGGTAGAGCTCTAGCTGAGGGACAGTGCCCAGGCCCAGAGATCAGGTCCAGACCAAAAAAAAAAAAAAGAATTAGGGTAGGAAGCCAGGTGCCGGTAGCTCATGCTTATAATCCTAGCTACTCAGGAAGCTGAGATCTGAGGATCACAGTTCAAAGCCACCCCAGGCAGAAAAGTCTGTGAGACTTTTATTTTAACTGTATTTTTTTCGTCTTTTCTTTTTTGGTACTAGGGATCGAACCCAGGATGTTGCACTTGCTAGGCAAGCTCTTTGCCACTGAGCTACATCCCAGCCCCTCTGTGAGACTCTTATTTAAACTACTCAGAAAAAGGTGAAGTGGCACTGGGGCTCAAGTGGTAGAGCACTAGTCTTGAGCAAAAAAAGTTCAGGGACAGAATCCAAGCCCTGACTTCAAGCCTTAGTACCTGCAAAACAACAACAACAAAAAGAATTAGGGTAGGGAAGGTGATCATTCCATGTTCCATCAAGAGACAAGCTCAGATCTTGGTATAGTGGCACACTGGAGAATGCAACAGGAAGCTCAAGAGTTTAAGGCCTGCTTGGGATATACAGCCAGACCATGTCTAAAATAATAATAATAATAAAATAATAAAAAGTCTGAGGCCTCTCAGCACAGGTATTTCACATGCCTTTTTTTTTTCTCTCTGGACCAGAAACCAGGGCATGGACCACACCAGAAGTGACCAACTCCCCACCATGTCCAAGAACATTCCACACATCAACAGCAGCTATTGGGAACAAGCTGTATGTCTTTGGGGGCGGTGAAAGGGGCGCCCAGCCTGTTCAGGATATGAAGCTACATGTGTTTGACGCAAGTATGAACTGAAGTGCACTTGGATTGCCACAAACCTGGTCAGGGCCTCCTTGGCCCACCATTTCCCTGGTATAAAGAAGCAAAGATTAGAAAATGACACTGAATGGCTGAGAAGTGCTAGAATGCTTGCCTCCCTTGCATGAGGCCCTGGGTTCGATCCTCAGCACCACATAAACAGAAAAAGCCAGAAGTAATGATGTAGCTCAAGTGGTAGAGCGTTATTCTTGAGCTGAAGAGCTAAGGGACAGCGCCCAGGCCCAGAGTTCAAGATCCACGACCAACCAAAAAAAGAAAGAAAACACTGAAGAGTGTCTCATTTCTAGTCCTCTTTGGCAAAGAAAGCTAATGTAATCTCACCAGAGCAATATTTGCATTTGAAAAGTCATAAATGATCCATTTAAAAACTTTGAACAGGCCGGTGTTGGTGGCTTATGCCTATAATCCTAGTTACTCAGGAGGCTGAGATCCGAGGATTGAGGATCATGGTCCAAAGCCAGCCCAGGCAGGAAAGTCCATGAAACTCTTATCTCCAATAAGCCACCAGAAAACCAGAAGTGGCACTATAGCGCAAGTGGTAGAGCGCTAGCATTGAGCTGAAAAGCTGAGGGACAGTGCTCAGGCCCAGAGTTCAAGTCCCATGACTGACAAAAAAAATAAACTTTGAACAGCTGGGCACTGGTGGCTCACATCTGTAATCCTAGCTACTTAGGGTACTGAGAACTGAGGATTGTGGTTTATAGCCAGTTCAGGCATGAAAGTTCTTGAGAATTTTATCTTCAAAAAAGCTGAAAGTGGCTTGCAGATGGTGGCTCACACCTGTAATCCTAGTTACTCAGAGGCTGAGATCTGAGGATCACCATTCAAAGCCAGCCTGAGCAGGAAAGTACAGGAGACTCTTATCTCTAATAAACCACCAGAAAACCAAAAGTGGTGCTGTGGCTCAAATGATAGAGCACTAGCTTGAGCTGAAGAGCTCAGGGCCAGCACCCAGGTTTAGAGTTTAAGCCCCATGACCGCCCAAAAAAAAAAAAAAAAAAAAAGGCTGCAAGTGCCAGGCACTGGTGGCTCACACCAGTAATCCTAGCTACTCAGGAGACTGAGATCTGAGAATCACAGTTTAAAGCCAGCCCAGGCAGGAAAGTCTGTGAGACTCTTACCTCCAATTAACCACTAGAACACCAGAAGTGGCACTGTAGTTCAAATGGTAGAGCTCTTCAGCTCAGAGACAGCACCAGGCCCAGAGTTCAATCCCCAAGACTGACCAAAAAAAAGCTGGAAGTGGAGCTATGGCTGAAGTAGTAGAGCACTAGCTTTGAGCAAAAAAAGCTCAGGGACATCACTCAAGCCCTAAGTTCAAACTCTAGGACTAGCAGAAATAGAAATGTAGGTTAAGTACCATTCTTGAGTAAAAAAGGTAAGACACAGATATCAGACCCTGAGTTTAAGCTCCAACCTTACCCCACCCCCACACACCCCAAAAAATAAAAGAGAAAAAAGAAATGGCTTTCCAATACCTAAGCTGGCATGGGTAGATAGTGGGCCCTCCTGCCCTGAAACTGTCCAGGCTGTGTGTAAAGGGAAGGAGGGAGATCTGTCTGGCTGCTTGCAGCATCTCTGCATGCTGGGAGGTGATAATGAGGCTTGGGTGCACTTCTCTTGTTCTTGCTTTGTAGCTTTGCCACTTAATTTCAATGAATTTGCTCTTGCAGATACTCGGACTTGGTTCCAGCCAGAAACACTTGGAAATCCTCCATCTCCCCGGCATGGTCATGTGATAGTGGCAGCAGGGACACAGCTCTTTATCCATGGAGGCTTGGCAGGGGACAAATTCTTTGATGATCTTCATTGCATTGATATAAGTAAGTAGGGTAGGAAGTGGCGCTATGGCTCAAGTGGTAGAGCACTCGCCTTGAGCTGAAGAGCACAGGGACAGCGCCCAAGCCCAACCCAGAGTTCAAGCCCCACAATCGACCAAAAAAAAAAAGAGAGAAGTAAGTAGGGTAGAGGGCACAGTGTCTTAGATGTTTAAAAAAAAATTGTATTGTGTTTTAAAAAAGTACAGCTTTTTTCTTGTGTATTTGACCAGCTGGCAAAACCCTCACTAGATCCTGTCCAATGTGATATGCATAGTAACAGGTAATAATGACAATAAATGTAGTCATTTCCTGGCACCTCATGTATTTAGGCCTTTATTATCTCTTACCCTGCCACATCCCCACTCTTTTCATTAATTGATTATGCTTTGTGTTCCCTTACTGGAGTTCTTTTAGGCAATAGCCATTACTCCCATGCAGATAGGACTATCTCCAGGTTATACATGTGGAGGAGAATGAGCAGAATTACATTCTGGGCAGGCTAAGTGGTTGAAAACCCTGGGAAGAGGAAAGTATCTGAAGGGCTTGAGGAGCCCTGGAGAATCTAGACTCTTTCAGGGTCATTTCTCCAGGTTGGAACTTCACTAGGAAAAGGGCTTCTTCTCATTTGCCAGGATATTTCCAGCACTTAGCATAGTATCTGGCAGATACTGAGTGAGCACATATCTGTTCATAAATGTACAGCTTCTGTATTACTCCAGACTACAAGAAGTGCAGAGACATGGAACTCCTATGCAGAGTATTTGGGAATTTTACCAAGTTCTAGTTCTCTGAATTGAAGGGACACTGACTGAGATTTCTACATTTGGCAGAATTTTGGCCAACCTGGCCAGGTTGACTGGACTTAACCCTCCTGAGTGCTAAGATTACAGGGATGAAAGTACCACACTTCAAATTGGTTTTCTGTTTTTCTTTCTTTCTTTTTTTTTGGGGGGGGAGTGGTGGTTTGGTGCCAGTCCCTCAGGGCCTGTCCCTGAGCTTCCTTTTCTCAAAGCTAGTACTCTACCTTTTGAGGCACAGCTTTACTCTTGACTTTTTGGTGGTTAAGTGGAGATAATAGTCTCCTAGACTCTCCTGCCTAGGTTGGCTTTGAACCGCAGTCCTCAAATCTCAGCCAGCTGAGTAGACAGGATTAAAGACATGAGTTTCTGATGCACAACACAGATGTGTGTGTGTGTGTGTGTGTGTGTGTGTGTGTGTGTGTGTGTATGTGTGTGTTTGTGTCCGAGACTGAGACCTGGAACTTAAACTCAGGGCCCAGAGAGAGAGAGAGAGAACTGGAGCTTAAACTCAGGGCCCAGGTACTGGCCCTGAACTTTTTTGTGTGTATGCTCAAGGTGAGGGCTCTACCACTTTGAGTGACAGCGCTACTTCCTGTTTTCTGCTGGTTAATTGGAGATAAGAGTCTCACAGACTTTCCTGCCCGGGCTGGCTTTGAACCTTGATACTCAGATCTCAGTCTCCTGCGTAGCTAGGATTACAAGTGTGAGCCATCGCCACCTAGCACAAATAGGGTTCTTTATTCTTTTTACTTCTTTTTTGTCCTGACTACCCAAATTATCCTATAAACCTAAAATCTAGTGCTAGTTTACCTTATTTCAGTGCCTGTTTGGAAAAAAAATATGAAAATGGCAGTAGGTGCTAAAGCAGCAAGTTGCAGTAAAGAGAACATAAGTTTTGCTGTTGCTGCTGGTTTTTTCTCTTTTTTTTTTTCTCTAAGTGGAAATGGGGTCTTATTTGCTAGGGTGGCACTCTACTACTTGAGCCACACCCCTAGATCAGAGGCTCCTTTTGATGCTCTAAGTATATATCTAGTTCATACAAGTAGTGGTGGTCTAATGCAAGCCTCCTCCTTTTCTTATCCTGTATGCTCATCTGTAAGAAGAAGGCTAAACAGATGTAATAGCAATTCACAGGGCTGCCATGACTATTCAATAAGATTTGTTAAATTTTGAAGTGTTTAGCTAGCACTTTCAAAGTTTCTAAAGAATTGTATTAAGAGGGGCTAGGAGTGTGGCTTAGTGGTAGAATACTTGCCTAGCATGCATGAAGCTCTGGGTTCAATTCCTCAGTACCATATAAACAGAAAAGGCCAGAAGTGGCGCTATGTCTCAAGTGGTAGAGAGCCATGAGCCAAAGAAGCCCTCAGGGACAGTCCCCAAGCCCCAGGACTGGCAAAAAATAATCATAATAATAATTGCATTAAGAGCTGGACACCGGTGGTTCACAACTGTAATTCTAGCTACTCAGAAAGCTGAGATCTTAGGATCACGGTTTGAAGCCAGCTCAAGCAGGAAAGTCTGCAAGACTACAATTAACCACCAAAAAGCCAGAAATGGAGCTGTGGTAGAGCGCTAGCCTTGAGCACAAACTCTCAGGGACAGTACCCAGGCCCTGAGTTCAAGCCCCAGGACCAGCACATAACACACAGAAACAGATATTCTCAACCCCTCCCCACACAGACACCCAGAATTGTAATTAAAACATATAGTTATGTGTACATATGTGCATACAGAACATTACCTACTTTCTGCACAGTTAACTGTGAATTTTTAAAAGGTTGTATCACATTTCTCGGTGTGCTCCAAAGAGCACCTCCATCAGAATCCCCTGATATTCTTTGTTTTTTTTGTTTTGTTTTGGGTCCGGTCGTGGGACCTGAACTCTGGGCCTGGGCACTGTCCCTCAGCTCTTCAGCTCAAGGCTAGCGCTCTACCACTTGAGCCACAGCGCCACTTCCGGCTTTTTTTTTCTTTTTGCTTATGTGGTGCTGAGGAATTGAACTTAGGGCCTCATGCATGCAAGGCAAGCGCTCTACCACTGAGCCACCTGCCCAGCCCCTCCCCTGAGATTCTTTTATGTGTGTGTGTGTCTGTCTGTATGTCTGTGATTGTATGTGTGTGTCTGTGTTTGTGTGTGTGTGTCTGTGACTGTGCATGCACACACACAGTCTACTACTTTGACCACAGCTCCACTTCTAGCTTTTTGGTGATTAATCCGAAATAAGAGTGCCTGGGTTAGCTTCGAACTATGATCCTCAGATCTCAGCCTCCTGAGTAGCTAGGATTACAGATGTGAGCCACTGGCGCTGTGCTCCCTGTGATTCTTGTCACAGCTATAGACCACTGAGCTCCTTTCCCCACTCCCTGCATATTACATTTGGCTCCATTACCTGTAAGCATTCTTAGGGGTCACCTCCAGTAATTGGTTTGCAAACAGCAGTAGAGTTGGAAACCATTTATTAGCCCATATTGTGCCAAATCTCTGTCTGGCAGGTGACCTGAAGTGGCAGCAGCTTAGTCCCACAGGGGCTGCTCCAGCAGGCTGTGCTGCCCACTCAGCTGTGGCTGTGGGAAAGCATGTGTATGTCTTCGGAGGAATGACTCCTACTGGCGCACTGGACACCATGCACCAGTATCACACAGGTGAGCAGGGGTCACTCCAGTCTTCCATCACATAGAAACACTTAGAAAAATAACATGGTGCTTTCCTTTCTCAAGTTGGTAACTGTGTCTAAATCTTAAGAAAACTAAAGCAAGCTGCTGGTAGCTCATGCCTGTAATCCTACTTACTCAGAAGGCTGAGATCTGAGTATTGCAGTTGTAAGCCATCCCGGCAGGAAAGTCCACTAGACGCTTATCTCCAATTAACCACCATAAAAGCGGAATTGGGGAGTGGGGGTGGGGGTGGAAGGTGGGAAGGGATGGGAAGGGGAAACAAAGGAGGAGGCAACAATGCTTGATAAGAAATGTACTCATTACCGGGACTGGGAAGGTGGTTCAGTGGTAGAGTGCTTGCCTTGCATGCCTGAGGCCCTGGGTTCGATTCCTCAGCACCACATAAGCAGAAAAAAAAAGCCGGAAGTGGTGCTGTGGCTCAAGTGGTAGAGTGCTAGCCTTGAGCTGAAGAGCTGAGGGACAGCGCCCAGGCCCAGAGTTCAGGCCCACGACCAGATCCAAAAAAAAAGAGAGAGAAATGTACTCATTACCTTGCCCATGTAATTGTAACCCCTCTGTACAGTATTTTCACAATAAAAAATAAAAATAAAATACTACTTATCAAAAAAAAATAGTGGAATTGGCTCAAAGTGGGAGAGTGATAGCCTTAAGTGAAAAAGCTCAGGGGCAGCTTCCCCACCATAAGTAAAAGCCCCAGGTGCTGCGAAGAAAGAAAACACTAAGCTTGTAGGGAATGTCATTAAAGCATTAACAATGTCATTTTTTTTTTTTTTTTTTTTTACTTTGTAGTCATGGGCTTGAACTGTTGGCCTGGGCCCGTCCCTGAGCTCTTCAGCTCAAGAAGAGCACTCTATCATTTGAGCCACAGCACCACTTCCAGTTTTCTGTTGGCTAATAGGAGATAAGCATCTCATGGGCTTTCCTGCCCAGGCTGGCTTTGAACTGCGAATCCTCAGATCTTACCCTCCTGAGGAGCCAGGATTACAGGCATGAGCCACTAGTGTCTGGCTTTTTGTTTTTTTTTCCCCCAGTCCTGGAGCTTGAACTCAGGGCCTGGGCACTGTCCCTGAACTTCTTTTGCTCAAGACTAGCACTACCACTTGAGCCACAGTGCCATTTCTGGCTTTTAAGTGTATATGGTACTGAGGAATCAAACCCAGGGCTTCATGCATACTAGGCAAGCACTCTCCCACTAACCCACATTCTCAGCCCTTTTTTTCCTTTTTAATGTGTCTCAGCTCATATAGTAAATCAGGCCTTTGTTCTTTCCCCCTGTACATAGAAAAGCAGCACTGGACCTTGCTTAAATTTGATACTTTCCTACCCGCTGGACGATTGGACCATTCCATGTGCATCATTCCATGGTCAGTGACATCTGCCTCTGAGAAAGACTTGAATTCTGTCACTTTAAACTTTGAAGATGAGAAAGGGGATTCCACTGGCAAAAGAGTGTACAAAGATGGTGACTCACAAGCGAATCAGGCTGACACACTGCTCTGTTTTGTGTTTGGTGGAATGAATACAGAAGGGGAAATCTACGATGATTGTCTTGTGACTGTAGTTGACTAATAAAATATACAACTTTTATTATTCCTGTTATTTCATAAAAGTGAAACTTCCACGGTTTTCTGCCTTTACGATGTATATATTATATAATAGATAGATAGATAGATAGATATATACTTTTTTTTTTGCCAGGGATTTGAACTCAGGGCCTTGGCAGTCCCTGAGCTTCTTTTTTTTTTGTCGGTCATGGGGCTTGAACTCTGGGCTTGGGTGTTGTCCTTCAGCTCTTCAGCTCAAGGCTAGCGCTCTACCACTTGAGCTATAGCACCATTTCCGGTTTTTTGGTGGTTTATTGGAGATGAGAGTTCCACGGACTTTCCTGCCCAGGCTGGCTTTGAACCACGATCCTCAGATCTCAGCCTCCTGAGTAGCTAGGATTACAGGCGTGAGCCACTGGTGCCCGGATCCCTGAGCTTCTTTTGCTCAAGGCTAGCACTCTACCAGTTGAGCCACAGTGCCATTCCCAGCTTTTTCTGTGTATATGGTACTGAGGAATGGGACCCAGGGCTTCATGCATGCTAGGCAAGCACTCTATCACTAAGCCCCATTCCCAGCCCTCTACAATATTTTCTGCACACTATATAACTTATCTACTTCAGATAAATAGCCTGGGAGTGGGAGAATTATACTGGCAGTTTAGACACTAGTAAAATATACTTATTACCTTTTTTTTTTTTTTTGGTCCATCATTGGGCCTGAACTCTCTGCCTGGGTGCTGTCCCTCAGCTCTTCAGCTCAAGGCTAGCACTCTACCACTTGAGTCACAGCACCACATAAGCAGAAAAAGCCAGAAGTGGTGCTGTGGAATGGAACCCAGGGCCTCATACATGCAAGGCAAGCACTCTACCACTGAGCCAACTTCCCAGCCCCCATTATTAGCTTATTCTTAGCAGAGGTAGACTGTTGATAGCTTTTGAAGAGAAGAATGAAGACCTCTTTTCCTAATTATCCACTAGCACTGGAACTCCAGAGCATAAGCCATTTTAACATTTGATTAGGCTTGCCTGCTAACCTCCCATTATATTCCAGGCCTGCCCAATTTTTAAAGCAGTGCCTCAGCAGCAAAGTTAGGTCTGTGAGCCAATTGTCCATCTACAGAGTTCCTGTCCTTAGTATTGGATTTTATATTAGCATTGGTCATTAAAACTTTTACTGATCATACTAATTACTTAGCTAGATCAGTTCTTCAAGAAGCCAATCTCAACCAATCATGACACAAACTGCTGCCCTGGCCTCACAGGTATCGCTTTCAAAGGTACCATCTACCCTACCATGGTTTCACTGAAAAATTTCATGAAAGGAAATGATGTATCCAGGGTGCTGGGGTGGTTAAAAGTAGACTTCTCAAATTTATGAATTAAACTCATCTAAGTGGAAGATCCTGGACCACCAAAGGAAAAAAAAAAGCCAAGTAGAAAGGGAAATATAATTCCAATTATATTCAAAGAAACTGAACTTCCCTCATTCTTTTTGTCTGTCATAAGGGCTTGAACTCTGGGCCTGGGTGCTGTCCCTTTGCTCTTCAGCTCAAGGTGAGCACTTGGTACCACTTCTGGTTTTTGAGTGTTTAACTGGAGTTAAGAGTCTCAGACATTCCAGTCGGGGCTTTGAACTGCAAGCCTCACATCTCAGCCTCCTGAGTAGCTAGGATTATAGGTGTGAGGCTGAGACACCCAGCCATCTTAAAGTTACACAAATCCTCTATACTGACTACCCAACAGCCCCCCAAAACCTCCAACTGAATACCCCCACACACAGAATATTAAATTTTACTTTTTTAAAAATAGCTGTTCTAAATTAGAAGCTTTACACAAAAATTAGACCAGTGTAAATAACAAACATTTATTGGTGTCACTTATGGTAGAAAAAAAGTTCCTACACAAGATGTGCATGACCCAACTGTTAAATAGAACATTTCTGAGGTGAACACACTCTGACCCCACTTTTTTACCCAGTTTTTAGACAGCCAATTCCTCCTTTCCCCCACCCCAAGACATATGAGCAACTGCTAATGAAAAGCAGTAAACAGCCACTTGGGCTATAGCATTTTCAACTCCACTCTCAGGTGAAGATTCCAATTACATTCGAGACTTAAGTTCTCTCAATTTTCTCCTAACGAAAGTTCCTGAGTCCAGTATTTACAATATTACAACCCTAGCAGCTCAGTGCCTACAATTCATCTTTTTCTGCTGTATCCTCTTCACCAGTTGGGGGAGGGCCTGCACTTCCATAGAGTTTGCTAATTATTGGCTGAACAATTTCTTCTAGTTCCTTCTTTTTAGCTTTGAAGTCTTCAATGTCAGCATCTTGGTGGCTTTCCAACCATTCAATCTTTTCCTCTACAGCTTTTTCCATGGTTTCCTTATCTTCAGAGGAAAGTTTACCTCCCAGCTTTTCTTTATCTCCAATCTGATTCTTCAGAGAATATGCGTAGCTTTCCAACTCATTCCTAGTATCAATGCGCTCCTTGAGCTTTTTGTCTTCCTCAGCAAATTTCTCAGCATCATTAACCATCCTTTCAATCTCTTCAGGTGTCAGGCGATTCTGGTCATTGGTAATTGTGATCTTATTTTTGTTCCCTGTACCCTTGTCTTCAGCTGTCACCCGAAGAATACCATTCACATCTATTTCAAAGGTGACTTCAATCTGGGGTACCCCGCGGGGAGCAGGAGGAATTCCAGTCAGATCAAATGTACCCAGAAGGTGATTGTCTTTTGTCAAAGGTCGTTCACCTGAAAGTTACACACAGAAAAACTCGTTACTGACAAGCATTAGTATATCTGGAGGCCTCCTACATTTCAGTTTAAGAGCCTATTCAAACTAAGTGATTCAGTACTGATCTACACTGCAGACTACACAAGGGGCAGCCACTGGATTATACATATATATTTTTTGGCCAGTCCTGGGGGCTTGAACTCAGGGCCTAACCACTGTCCTTGAGCTCCCTTTGCTCAAGGCTAGCACTCTCCACTTAAGCCATTTTTGGCTTTTCTGTTTATGTGGTACTAAGGAATAGAGCCCAGGGCTTCATGGAGTTCACAGACTTTCTTGCCCTGCTGGCTTTGAAATATGATCCTCAGCCTCCTGAGTAGCTAGGATCCCAGGCATGAGCCACCAGTGCCCAGGTTCCATTACTAACTCTTAATTCGAACTAACTAAAAGCATTATAAATCACTGCCTTGTTCTTTCTTTAAAAAAAAAAACAGCCGGGCGCTGGTGGCTCACGCCTGTAATCCTAGCTACTCAGGAGGCTGAGATCTGAGGATCTCGGTTCAAAGCCAGCCCGGGCAGGAGAGACCGTGAGACTCCTATCTCCAATAAACCACCAGAAAACCAGAAGTGGTGCTGTAGCTCAAGTGGTA